AAAAAGTATTTACCCTTTCCAAATATGAACATTTCCACATATAAAATAAATAAAATATCCAAAAACTTTTACCTCTAAATCATCTATTATATTATAAACGTCACCAACGAATTCATACCGCAACCATTACAAATACTTAGTGTCAGATATTTAAATTATTTCCATGCACGTTTACTTCAACTGAAACGTATATACCAAATTCCTACAAACATAAAATTCACAAAATAACTATCATTTAATTAAAATATAATTAAATTCAAAAACACTACTTAAAATATAAATGAGCACATACATTAAATTAATAAAAATTACCTTACAATCCTAATTACTTTAAACTAAATCATTGCTAATAACAATTTTCCCAATAATACCAAATTCCTTTACTTCCACCTTACATTTAGAACAAATGCATAAAAATAGTATCCTCAAATAATTAAAAATACTAACTTACCTAATCTTCTTCAGAATCTTGATTACGTGTCCGATAAACTTTTCTTTAGTTGCCATGGGATCCAAAAATTCCCGAACACTGTTTCACACTACACAGAATAAACCAAATACAAAATTTCCAGATTCTTTCCCGATTTTCCCCCTTTTCCGATTCAAGAACCGTAATTCGTCCATTAATATCACATGACATATCCCATGATCTCTCATTTCCCTCACACAAAATAATGCGTAATCGGAACTGAGTACTGCTCACATTATTACCAAAGTCCCAGGTAGTAACCTTTATCGCCTCCAAAATGTCGCCAAACTACCAGTTACCATATTGTAAAGATCAACCCAGATATTATATGCAAAATATCCTGAAGCGCGAACGCAAATATAGCCTCCGGTTGCATGCATTAGAAAAAAATATCCCGAAGTTCTTCTTATAGAAATACATATATTTACAATTGCAAAACTATACATTATATTATGAATAATTTACTTGTCATAAGAATATATGAGAATCTCGTTTCAGTGCTTTACTCGGAGTCATTTCTTACACACTAGTTACGAAAAATAAACTACTTTAAATATATGTAGCTATGAATAAACTAAAAATATGTGTACATATAAATCAATGCATAGATGCGAATAAATTTTAAAAATACATACATAAACCAAAACATAGTAATGAATACTCTAAAAATATACATACCTTGTAATTTTGAATTCCACGTATGTACATTCAACCACCACCAGCGTTTTTAAAGATGATGGTAAAAAAAGGCTGACGCACTTGCGCTGAAATGGTTTGCATTGATTGGCTGTAACACGTTGCCAGAAAATGGTGAAAACTTGAACCGTTCTCGTAGTTTTCACCATTTATCGGTGCTGTTAAAAAAACAAGAGAGCCATGTTTTGATTCATCCTCGAATGTTTAACCATTAAATGGTGCAACACTGTACTGAAATTTTTTACAGTTCAGCAGTGGCGTAGCTAGGGTGGGGCAAGGGGGGACATCCGTCCCCGGGCGCAGCATCCAGGAGGCGCCAAATTGATGATACACATTTCAGAATGAAATGTTTTCCATTCTTGGAACACAGAAAGGGGCGCAAAATCTTAAGGTGTTCCCGGGCGCTGAAAACCTTAGCTACGCCTGTGCAGTGCAGTTTGCGGATTACCAGTTCATGGCAACTCTCACTCAAGCACACTCAATGCTTTGCGTTAAAGCAGGGGTTCCCAACCCTATACCCGCAGGCACCATATGGTTCCCGCCGATCGTTTAACGCGTGCCCGCCCCTGTGCGATCAGAATAAAAATGTTTTAGTTTTCAATAAAACTCTATGTGAAAGTTTTTTTTAATTTTTAATGAAATAGAAATTGCGTCCAACACAGATACCAGCACAAAGCGAACTGCGACTAGTCTCTTTCTTTAATTATTTCTATTATTCTGATTTCAGACAGCTCTGAATATTGGCGGAACCGATTGTCTGGACTATGCAAGGTGTTGCTGTATTTGTGTAAATGCTAGGGATAAATACTATTTTTCAACAAACACAAAATGCAATTTCGAAATAATATTTATATAATATTTCGAAATAATATTTTCCCTATCGACTTTATAAATAGAGAAAAAAATCAGAAAATATTTTCCTCAGTGTTATAGGCTTTCTAATCTGCATTTAGTACACGTAGTAAATTCATTGAAATTCCCATATCGTTCCTCGATATCCAGAATAATTTTAAAACCTTTTGGGAAAAAAATTTTCCTTTTACTCTGCTTTTCTCGGTTGAAGCTTTTACTAAGAAATACTATTTTAGAACTTATAAAAGTCTATCCTGAAAAGTTAAAAGTAGCCGTAACAGTAGAAGCTCTTCCTCCTACTAAGGTTGGTGTGGAAAGACTCTTCTCAGCTCTGAAATTTATCAAATCGGATCTATGGCCCTCCAACAAAGATCTTGTCGAAGCTGTACTGTTTCTTAGAAATAACTAATGCCAGTTTTTCTATTTCATAATAAATGCCAATTAATATAAATAATTTGCTATGCCATCAATTTTGTTTCTGTAGCATCTATTACTTCTTTTATATTAAAAAAATAAGCTGTAACCCATGTGTATATGTTTACACACACACACACACACACACACACACACACATATATATATATATATATATATATATATATATATATATGAGGGAGTCGGAGTCTTGAAAATTCCAGGGTCGGAGTCAGTCATTTTCCCTATCGATTCCACAAGCCTGTGTAGAAGGACCAATGTTTCAAAGAAGTGATGCATTAATGCTAAGCCTACCCCAGCCTTCAGGTTTAGTCTCATGCAACCGTCAACCGTTTTATTCTTTTAACTATTTATTTATTTTTGTCAGAACATATCATGTACTCTCACAAACATTTACAAACTATTAATATTTTAAGTTTCGGTGCTAATTTCGTAAGTTTGCAGTCTCCTTTTATTGCTGGCTTTGCAATAGATACGGAAGGAATCGAAAAAATTGCTTGACTGCTCTCTGCTGGTAATTACCTTCACGTGGACAAAACATCAGTTGAATAAACAAGGCATTGCAGCAAAACATAACTGATATTGCAATGTTGTTGTTGACTTACGTGTCTTATATGATAAGCCACTAGTTGTGCTGAAAATGTTTCCAAGAAGAAGATAAAGTGACGATATTTTAAAAAACAGAAAATTGGTTTCTATATTTTGGATACATTCAATACTATATTTTGGATGCATTCGGGGTACTGTTTTGGCATTAACAGTGATTATATTATTTAATGTATAGGCAGGTTATTGTTCGTTATTAATATACAACCGTATTACCACGTTTTGTTATCAATGCATGAATCACTATATCTGTGACTAAATATTCTATAAACATATTGCTGTGTTTTATTACAAATGCACGAATTGTTCTATTTGTAATTAAATTTTTAAATTAAGTTCTAATTTTAAGATTTGGTAGAATGAAAAATTATATGTGAGAATTTTTTACTGTGGAGGATGTAGGCGCCTGAAAGTCCAGAGTCCTCTTATAATACTTAATATATTCAGCAGTGGTAGTTTGGGTTTACACACATTTCTAAATTTAAGATAACGAAAGTTAGTTTTAGACACACAAAAGCAGATCTAAATAAAATGGGCAGTTAAAAAAGAAATAATATTCTCTTAAGCATATTTAATTTGCACTAGATATAAATACGCTCAATACTATATAATACTAGGCGTTTCTTATTAAGAGACGCAGATAGAAGGGAGTAGGTCACCAGAATTTCACAACTGGGCGTATTGGTATAACTCCGCCTCACTAATTGTGCAATTCCTCCCAAAGTTCACGAGAGAACACCTAGGGGAGCATTCTGAGGGTCTTTTAGCCCTCCTCTCCTACCGCCAACATCTTGAACGGACTTTCAGTTTATAGAGTATTTTTCCCTCCTTCCTAGCGTGCCTTCGTGGTGTGGTGGTTCTACACATTGGGCCGGTATTCCAGAGGTCCGTGGTTTGATTCCCGGCGAAGGCGATTGCTCTTTTTTTCATTTTGCCTGCTTCCAAAATACTTAATGTCTCTACAGTGGCGCCCGAACTAAAAGGGTGTTGGATGAGGATTCTCCTCACCCAGGATTTGGCTATTGGGTCCCCTAAAAACCCCAGTCGCCCCTTTAAAAGGGGGAGTATATAAGGTATTTCTCCCGCCATTCAAGCGTGCCTTCGTGATGTGGTGGTTCTGCACGCTAGGTCGGTATTCCATTGGTCCCTTGGCTCGATTACCGGCGAAGGCGATTGCTCATTTTTCATATTGCCTGCTTCCAAAATATCTAATGTGTCTACAAAGTTCACTGTGCTTTTTAAGTGCCTCACTGCCGCAGGTATAATACGCTCACTAACCGCTGAACTAGTTGAACGGTACTCCTTATTAACAAGTAATTTATTCTAGAAATATTTCTATGGTAAAAAATCCTGAATGGGGAGGGTATGCTCATCAGGAAATGGTTATGAGTCTTTCTACAACAAGTTTTTTTTTTTTTTTTTTTTTTTTTTTTAAAAAAACACTAAAAGTTAACGCAGATAATGAAACTCGCAATTTATTTTACAGAAAACGACTTTATTTATTACACTGAATATTTGTGCAACGCAAAGGACCAAAGAGGAAAGGGCCACTAACAAAGAGGTTCATGGCTAAAGCCATAAGATCTTTTTTTCTTTCTTTCAAATTTTTATTTTCAGTTAAACGCTTCATATATATTTGAGTATTACGCCATCTAAACTCCCATGAAAGGCTTCGGGCCACCCATCTATCCTTGTTTACCACCATCGTTCTAGAGGCAAATGAATAAATTTGCGTAAATTTGTTGAAACTGGCCCGTGGAGTTTGAAAGATGTTGGATTTACTGTGATGAATCACTCCTTAGGAAACGTAATTTATTGACATTTATTTTCAAATAAAAAGTGACTTCGATTGGATATACCTACTTGAAGCTATAAGTTTTTCCAAAATTATTTTATTTCTATTTCGTTTCTAAATTTGCATGTATGTGTTTCTGTCTTGCAGAAGAATTCTGGGCGCTGTTATGCAGAGCATCACCTACAAGGAGTTCCTTCCTCTGCTTTTAGGATCGAATGTAATGTTTACTTATAAGTTATGGCTCAATATTTCGCAAGAAAATTCCACTCAGAATCCGAATATTTTCATTGAATTTAATACAGCTGCATTCCGTCTGCACAACTTAATTAATACAATTGTCGGTGAAAATTCTACATCAAACAGCAAACTTCTGATGAGAGATACTTATGCGATACATAAGCCAATTCATGAAGGACGCATTGGAACTCTTCTGGATGGAGCTACGAAATGCCCAGCCCATAAATTTGGCAGATGGATGGTGGATGATGTTACTAAGTATATGTATAGGTAAATACGAAATGCATGAATTTTCAACGGTGAATTTTAAAGTTTATAAGTTATTAAGGATATTTGCATTTGTGTTTCCTAAGGAATGGTTGCAAAATATTTAATATTATGTATTTCTTCCCAGGAAAGTTGGTACTTCCTTTGGTTTGGATATAGCAAGTACAAATATCCAGAGAACAAGGGATCACGGCATACCTCCATATATTCATCTGCTATCCTATTGCAACGATAATAAAATTAATATAAATAATTTCGATGATCTCATTCAAGTAATGGATTCAGATAACGTAGAGCTATTGAAGCAAAATTATAAGTAAGTACTTAACATTTGTTTCATGCAGCTTAAAATTTTATTACTTTTTTCCATAGATTATACCTTTAAATCATTTCCTAAACGCAAACAGACAAATTGCAATCCTCATTTTAGATTCTTGGACTTCGTTAGAAATTAATCTGAAAATACTTTTCAGATTTTGTGGAAATAGGTTTCAGTCCTTTACTCTGATTTGAAAATCAAATGGCTCTTATTTTTAAATTGTGCCAATTTATTTTCCGGACAAATCACAGAATCTAAGGCAGGTAAAATTTTAATCAAATTCATTTAATTAAAATACTTTTATTAAAAATGCAGTTTTAATTATCTACTTTAAAAATACAGGGCTACTATAAAAGATTCGTACATTTTGAAAACACTACATATTCAAAAGTATTACACGTACAAATATGATTGATATATGAAAATAACCACAAACTCATCAAGTTTTCTGCACACATAATGTTTCCTATACAATGTGCATCACCTGGGTCATATGACACGTATGTCTAAACTATAGTTGAATTCGTTCCATGCATTTTGTTCCATGTATTCGTTCCATGCATTTTGCATGTCATCCTGTCAATGATCCTCACTGCAGCATTGATTAGTTCCCTGAGCTTCATTAGTTTCCAAAGTCCTTAATGCCCTCAAAGAAAGAAGTTACAAGGCTAGGAGGAGAAGTTACAAATGACGTGGAGGGGCAAGGAAACAAAGCGTGGTTATATGCTGGACCTCTACTCATATCTCTCTGTACTAATTACTGCTACTCGTCTACTTTCAAACTTTACCGCGACATCGGGTTTTTCCATGCAATAAGTTTGTCAGTTTTGCTCAATATAAACTTGGTGAGTTCTTCAACCCTAATTTGATGTTTATAACAAACAGTTCTGCTTCTAATTTCGCCCTATCTCTCGCCAAGGGATGGCTTTAAGCAACTTGTAATTCTCGCTGCCTCCTTCTCCTAATAACAATTTACAAATCCATTTGTATCAGCTCAGTACCTGCCCTCGCAGTGCGGCGGTTACTCTGGTGACTTTTTGTACTACCGCAGTCAGAGAATCCAACTGTTCAAAAAAGGTCACTACCGAACTTGCGCCAACAATTGCAACTGCTGGTTCCATTGATGCTCGAAATTGTATGTACGATGGATCCAAATTCTTCCATGGAAGTTTCTGGTGCCGGTGAAATGTGCAATCTTGGGGAAAGCACTAAATGTTGCCTTGTTTTACGACATGATTTGTACTTTTGTTTGGGCGCTCCTTGTAGGGTTTGGATTGCTTTCAAAGCATGAACTATTTCCAAACTCCTAAAAGACGTAAAGCGAATTATCGCTGATTCTGAGGTAACTACAGACACTTGAAAAGTTTTAGATTTGCTGATATTCTAGAAATAATGTAAGAAAAAAATAAATCAGGGTAAGCGCTTCAGAACATTTATTTTAAATGCATTATAATTCTAATTTGAAACCAATTAAATGACATTTTATGCAACTGATCATCAAAATACAGTTTTTAATTAAAAAAAGGGCAAACCTTTGATTTTGTTGGTATAATTTTGAAAAAAACTGTTTTTAAACTTGAACAATTATACCTAATAAAATACAATCCAAAATTTCATATTACAGATCTTTTTTGTTTAATGAAACAATAAATTAAATTTAGTTTACAAATGACCAAGAAGTGACACTGCAACTAAAACATGGCATTGGAGGGAGGGCACAGTCAGATAATTTATTTTCGGTGTATTTGAAGCAAAACGTACTAAGCATTTTATGAGCAGAGAGTCATGAACAACTAACTACTCAGTACTCTCATGTTATCTTTATTTTATGAACGAAATTTGCCCATAAAGCTATAATGGTTGAAATAGATGTGTAAAGTGAAATTTTTATTGACAAAATTTTAATATATTTTTGTATTTCAGGGATGTTGCAGATATTGATGCATGGGTGGGAATGTATATGGAGCACAATAACGAAAATGCAATTCTGCCTCCTACTGCAGCTTGTATAGTTGCTACCCAGTTCAAAAATATCAAGAATGGGGATAGATTCCTTTTTATAAACAGACATCTTCCGACATCTTTTACATTAGGTAAGGTAATAAAGAGACCTGGAAGAAAAAAATTAAGTATATTATTTTGATATGAAATAATTATTATCTTGCCCGGTAACGTATGTGTAGTATAATTACTTTAATGTATGTGTTACCGGCAATGTATGAAAGGCGCAATTTTATAGAATACATAAGCCAGTGATTCTGAACTTTTTTTTTTTTTTTTTTTTTTTTTTTTTTTTAGTCACAACAAACTTTTAACGATTTCAAAATTTGGCGGCACACAAAGAAAAAGATAAATTTTAAAAGTGTTTTTACTACTTATAGTACCCTGTGTAAAACAGATGATAATAATTTGAATTAAAAAAAAATATGTACTACTTAAACGTAGTACGTTTATTAAGGGATTAAATACAAGTTAATAATAAGAATACTTTTAATGAGAAATTTGAGCTTGATGTTTTTTGATAATTTCATTTATATTTGGTCTTAAAATGACAATGCTGCTCTCATATCGTCTTCTACATTTAACAGCCTCGATTTGTTTTTCGTTTTTATGTTGGTTAATACTGAAAATCTGAATTCACACAAATAAGATGCAGAAAATTGTAATAATACTTTTAAAGCTTTTTCGGCCATCATAGGTTAATCGCATCTAATGTTAATCCAAAATGAATTAATTGATTCTTCCAAGTATTTTAAAATTAAATATCGATTATTAGAAAGCTAAATTAGTTCTTTCTATTCATTCAAAGTTCATTCAAATATAGAAATATTTATTAGCCTGATCGCTAACGTTATCATTATTATCATAATTAAGCTTTCTTCTTTTTAACCATATATCCATTTTCAGAAGGTTTTTGTTAACATAAAAATAATGTTATCAAAATATTATTAAAAAAAGGCCGAATCAAATATTACCTTTGAATACGTTTTATTCAAGTTTGAGAACACAATACCGCAAAGCAAATTTGTATATATAATTTTATAAATAGAACAACACAGCAAGCAAATAAATAGTAAACTGAGCCACATATGCAAATTTGAATGAGTGAAGAGGCGCAATAGAACCTACTACGAAACTTCTTAAGAATCCCCAAAGTTCAAAATAAGTTCTTGGTTCTTGCTCCCAAGGTTCTTGCAAAAATAAGGATTAACAAATGGCCCTTGTCTCAGGACGTACAAAAAAGCCTTCACTTGGGCTTGAACTCAAAGTACTAAGAAAATCCAACTTAACTAATGCTTAACTAAAAGGATATAGCCGAAGATATCAAAATTCTACAGGAGTTGGCCCCTAAATGTTAACTAAACGGCGAAGCTATCAAGGAACTAAAATACGGTCGAGCGTAGAGAGAGCGCAGACAAAAGGCGAACGCACACTAGTCAGAATCTCTGTCTCTCTAACGAAGTCAGTGGAACTTCTACTTAAGTATCGCTCTTCCTTCATTTGCGTTAAGCGCGATTCTAAAAACACACTCTGGCAGGAATTTGTAAGCTGAAATTAGAAGGAACAAAAAAGTAGTTTTAACTAAAGATAACTGTTAAAAACTTAGCTTAAACCTTACAGCCTATTATCGAACTTGTGCATTAATATATTATGAACCCGTAAACACGCCACCACATCACGGACCATTAGTCAGGAAATGGGCATGTTTGCAGCACGCCCAGTATCAGCTCGTAAGGTGCGTCGACGTTTGCAGCAGCGTGGCCTATCAGCAGGGTGACTATTACTTTGGTTTTCTTTGAACATGCAGCATAGAGAGAGACGGTGACAATTCCGTTTTTTCAAAAGAGTCTCATTTCTACGTGCAGTATTATGATGGATTTCTGGAATGCCCAAGGAGACCACACGTACCCTGCTGCATTCGATATCCACATAGGGTCTCTGCACCTGTTGTGATGGTTTGGGCAACCATTGGGTACACGACACGCACATCTCTGGTTCGGATCGACGGTAATTTAAACGCAGATGGGTACGTTTCTAACGCCTTCTGTCGAGTGGTTGTATCCTATCTTCGAGGCCTGCCAAATGCTATCTTCCAACAAGTTAATACAAGACCACATGTTGAATATTGTGGTCTGATCTCCTTCGATACACAGCGTCAGTTTGAATGCTTAGCAGACATTAGTATTCTACTGATGCCCTGGCCTGCACGGTCTTCAGATCTGTCATCCACTGAAAACATCTGGCCATGGGTTGCTGAGAGACTGGTCTGCCACCCCTCTTCAGCTAACACGGTTGATGAAGTGTGACATAGACTTGAAGCAGCATGGAATGAGTTGCCCATTTCTGTCATTCAAGCCCAGTTTGACTCCATGCTTAATGGAGTAAGGACCATTTTAGCTGCCAGGGGTGGCAGTTGTTTCTACTAATTTCGCACCCCTATGAACCTCCAAAATGCTTACAAACTTATTCGTTTTGTCCTCATGCCATGCTGTTTACGTACAATAAATATCATTTTTGTATTTGCTTTCCTTCATGGTGTTGCAATTTTAATGACCAGCAGTGTAATATTCAGCTGAAATTTATATAATCACTTTAATCATACCTCATATTTGTCCCTGCAACTAACATTAAATTTTAATTTCAGATCAGATAAGATCTATCTACCATATGTCGCTTTCTAGACTAATTTGTGACAACACTGATGTGAAAGAGATGCAAAAAAATGCCATGCTTTTTCCAAGCGATGAGTAAGTATAATTTTAATTTTAAAATCAAATACACTATTGATTCGAAATCTGTGTAATAGAAACCCTACCTAGTGGTATATGGCAAAATAATTATAAGAAAACTTTTTTGTTTTCTTCTTCGATAGGCTTTAAAATATATTTTACTTAAAAATAGTTAAGATTTTATTTTCTCTTAAAAACTAAGCTGTCAGTTTCTTTACAATTTGATATTATATATGTTTTTTAATAGAATCTTTGCATAACTTTCGGAGTATTGCGTTATGTTATTTTAACATACATTCTTTACGCATTAGCAAGAATTGCCACTGCATGAAAAATTACAATGCTCTACATTAGTGATTTAGGACATAAATAAGCAATGGCCTTAGTAGTCACCGAAATCCTTCGAATTAATTTTAGCAAACTTCCTAACTCTGTTGTACAATTCCGCAGCACCGATGAGTTAACGGCAGTAATTGCAGGTCACTAATGATCAGTATACAGATCTCAGATGACAGACTAGTGAAAATTATAGTAACTGGTGTTAATGTCTAATTTTATTTTATAAATTTATCTAAATTTGCACACCTACGTGATGACGTCCAATGACCAATATTTAACTGTTTACTCAACTGAATCGTCCCACACATTGCTTTGACCACCAGTGACCATTAATTCGAAGGCCATTTGTGATATCTGATTTGATGGGCATCGCTGATCTTTGGTTAAATTTTATTTTAAAAGATCTATGTAATTTTCAGATCCCTGTACTGCTGACGTAAGGGCCGATTGCTGGCGAATCTTAAACCACCTGTGAGTAACTGTTTTGACAGGTTCCGGTGTATTTCAGTTTCATTATATGTATATACAGCAGGGTTCCCTTTAATTTTTAAAACTTTATTTTAAATCAAATGACTTTCCTATTAAGCCTCATTTCATTTCCCTGCCACAAGGCAAACTTTCCCCTTCCGCGATATAAAAATTAGTTCGAAGATGGAATTATCTAATGGAAGGTTTTGGAGGGTGAAATCAAAGCGTTTTCTGCCTGCTTGAAGGCCACTTTGCTAACTTGATTCTCTAGCGATTAGAATACTGCGGCGTTGAGTTATTCTTATCATTAGGGTGAACGCTAGCTTGCGTAATAGTTAAACTATGAAGCCGTTAGACTATACTTAATCATTAAACAAACTTAAGTTTATTCATTACCTTTATGTTTAAACCAAAAGTGTTGGCTTCTCTAAGCACGAGTTGGTGCAGCTGTTTAATTTGAGTTAAGAAAAGTGTTCCATATACCCTTCTAATGATTCAAATCTCTGAACTGAAAGTATTTTAGTACTTCAAAAGACTTGGTGATTATTCACTATTTAGTCTTTCAACGCATACATTTTATGCTGGGTAAGAATACACGACATTACTATATATATATTATAAGAAAAGTTGTAAGAACAATACTTAAAAGACCTATTTTGGTCAAAACGTTTTGAGCATTGTGCTGCAAAATTAAGGAAATGAGAAGATAAATTTTAGTAAGCTCGCCAAAAAGTTACCAAAAGCTGTGGCTCCAAGAAAACTCCAATATAAGCATATACAGTAGTTATGAAAAGTGTGAAAATGGAAAAAAATGTATATTTACAAGTTCGATAGCTTTGTTCGATGTTCATTTAGAAATTCCCCTTGAAAAGCCAGAATGGACCTCGAATTGGGCTAATTAACCATTTTCCGCTTTTTAATTTTAATATATTTTTTGCTTTTTACATTGTTCAATCGATTAATATTTTAGTGTGTTTTTTAATTTACTTTTTATTTCGCATATAGCCTTTTATTTTACCTCATTCAATTGATTTGTTTTTTATACTGTGTTAAAATTTCCGAATATGTTTAGCGACAAAATAATTATAAGAAAACCTTTTTGTTTTCTTCTTCTTTTTATAAATCGAACTTGTAAATATACAATTTTTTTTCCATTTTCACACTTTTCATAACTACTGTATATGCTTATATTGGAGTTTTCTTGGACCCACAGCTTTTGGTAACTTTTTGGCGAGAAATATATATATATATATATGTATGTATATATATATTATCCTTGTCTGAGATAAATTGGGAAACAGAGAAATTCCCGCCGCCCAGTGTTTTGCTTCATTAGGTTAATTCTGGCAAGGAAATCTGCGGTGATGGACTTTTTTGAAGTTTAGATGATGACTTTGCAGCTGAAAGTTAACCTCATTAAGTTTAGTAAACGAATCTGTTAAATAAGCAGTGCTTGGTTTTCAATTGATTAAATTTTCTTTTAAAATGGGATCTTTAGTATCCCAAAATTCTAAAAGAATCTCTAAAAGTAAAATAAGTCTTGTCAAACAAAAGCCTGTTGACAATCAGCGTACTTCAGTATGAAGGAGTAATGGATGAAAGTTCACATCAGTTTCTTCACACAATTGTGCAAATAACTTGAAATTGGAAGCTTTGCTCTGAATTTTGTTTACTGCGTTAATGACGAACTGATAAGAGATTGATGCAATTTGCCACTCAGATTTTTAGCAATTAAATGTTTTCTGTGGATGACGCAGTGATTGCAAAATCCTAGGGTTCATTTTGTTTTAAAATGGCTTATAAAACCACGATAGAGCTCAAACAGTGAAGGTGCTCCATCTGCTGCTGATGCCATTATATTTGATAAAGGGATCGGTTTTTTTCATGAAATATTCTCTCAAAACATTGAATATTAACCAAAACATTGAATCATTAAGATCTGTTGTCAAAATCCTCATGAAAGACAGTTTACAATCCTTCATGTATTTCGTGGTCCATAATATAACGAACGTATGCCAGTAATAGTACTTCATTACCAGACAAAGATGACATGTCCAAATGTATGAGAAATTGGTCGTTTGCAGATAGTTATACAAGAAACTTTGAACATCATCACTCATTTCATCAATACGACTTTAAACTATTTTATGTTGTTGATCAGAGGCATTTTTTAGTATATTATATACAGGCTGGTGTAGAACAGGTTTAAAAATCTCTTCAATGGCTGGCAATATTAGTTGTTCTCCGATGTATGCGGCTTTCCCTATTTTGCTAGAAATAGTGAGATACGTAAGACTTCCGCACTTGGAGCGAAAATAATGTTCACCATGGGTCTCTTCTGAAGTTCTTGTGTCCAGTGCTTGAAAATATTTCAAATCTTTACTTGTTTTCTCAGAGTGACATCTTCTGAGATGATCTCCAGAGACATTGCTTAAAACTTTATTACATAAAAGGCACATAGGTAGAATGTTTGTCCGACAATGATGGAATGAAGCTAAACTTCAAATAATCAACTCTAAACCACCTATATATCTTTTTAGATTCAAGCATGTTTAGTAGCATTTATCGATGGACAAAAATTAAACTATTTAAACACGTCAGCTTTTCTCCGAGACAGATTCATCGATTTGAAAAATGTCTTCGGGTGTCAATAATGGAACACAACAACGTCGGAGTTAAATGTGGCTTGTATCGATACGTCGCTTCATATTTTCCAAGCATTAGAATGACATGGAAGCAAAAAGATGTGCTTGATAGCTTATAATCGTCTCGCTCTCTCCACTGCGGGGTTGTATCATGACCACACAAAAGGGAATTTATTTAGAAAGAAGGGAAACAGGAATACACTTCTGGCGCCATTTCAGCTGGAACTACTGCTGATTTGAAAGCGTGCCTTTAGAGGATTTTTTTTTTTTTTTAATTTTCAGATAAGAGACTAGGAAACACAGCAAATTTTCTTCATGTGTATGGACACAATATTCAACATCCTTGAATGTGACAGGTGTGCGGTTTTCTAAATAGGTCTTGACGGCTGGTGAAGGGAGAGAAGAAACATTTCTCAGTCAACTACATTCAGCTAAATGGGAA